TATTGATCCCTAAGAACATCTTAAAATTGGGGTTCTCCCTACGATTATCCAAAATCAATCTTACCTAAACCCATAAGCAAAAGTAAATCGAGTAGTAGCCCCCCTTACCTTATCAAATTGCAGCTTCGAACTCTTGAGCGATTGTTCGTCGTTCTTCAGAGCTCCAATCCCAAATATCTCCAAACACTTCACTAAAATACATAACAATCAGACTCACTTATAAACATAAACACTTTCTCCAATAATCACTTATTAAAATAAGCTCTTAAAGCTACTTAATTCCTCATAATCATATAGAAAATTTCACTAGCTTTCCAACGCATCAAACGGCGCCTAAATCGGAGTTACGGTTCAAAAGTTATGGCCGAAATGATTTTTGGGAAAAACCTACCCGAGCATCAACACAGAAGATCAACACGGGTGCCCGTGTGCATCAACACGGCCCGTGTTGATGACTCTGCAACACCATATTTCACGTTTTTATGCTTCCCAAAATCACCCCAACCCATTCCTAACCATCCCCAAACATCCTAAAACCATCAAAATCGAATTCCTACCATATAGCAATAGCAATTAGAATCATTCTAAAGTATTAACTAATACCTATAACTATGGGAACATGCAATACTACCTATGTTCATTTGAGCTCTAAGCTCCGGGGATAACAATGGTGTCTAATCCAAAAATCTGTAAAACTCAGAGAAATCACCCAATACCCAAAACTCATGTTAAATTTGTTCCTACCCATGAATAAGTACAAGGAACCCCACCCTTACCTGGTGTAATTCACGAATTCGGCAAAGCTTCGCTTCTTTCTTCCTCTTCCAAGCACTCTAGGGCAACTTCTCCCTTTTCTCCTTTCTCTGCTTTTCTCTCTATTATTCACGATAACTGAGTTTCTACTCACTTCCATTTTCTTTCCCTTTTTTATTCTTTCTATTCTTTTTCTTTCCTTTAGTTGGGCCCTATTGGCACCCCCTCTCTACTAACACTACACAAGGCCCACTAACCTTATCTTATTTCTTATATCACTTAATTAATTTAAATCATATACTAACCAATTAAATAAATACTACTAATATATTATATTATTCTAGTGACCTCACACTAACCCGATCAATTAGGGACACATACCCTACACCGACCCCACAAACACATATAAGGCCACAAACCAATAATATTCATTTTATTCACAACAAGGCACATAAATATGTTATAAACACATAACAAATCACTTAAATTAATTAAAAAGCGAACAATCGAAATTGGGGCATTACAGTACTCCAATGGGAGAGTAAGAAATGACTAAGGTCATCCTGAAAACCATTGGTTCATTTTACTATGAAATAGTGGTTGCAAGTGCACCGAGTTATTTCACTAAGATGGTAAGTATGGGTGTCCGTTTGGAGGAAGCCATCAAGGAAGGACGGTTGTCAAAAGATGAAGGTTCTAGTGGTACAAAGAAGCTATCATATGGATTTTCTAGAAAGAAAGAAGGCGAGATGAATTATGTTGTTCAAGAAAGAAGGATTAGACCTCCGAGAAGACGTCATCAGCATCCATAATAAGTTGCTTCAGTAACTGTGATTATCAATGTAGCTCCGACTGCTGTCGCATATCAAAAGACACCCCATCAAGGTAATCAAGGAAAAGGTTAGAAAAGAGAAGCTTTTGATCATATTCCAATGAATTTTGAAGAGTTTTTATCGGCTTTATTTCAAAAGAACCTGCTGCATACTAGGTCTCCCCCTGTTGTACCTCCAACATTACCATGATATAACAAAGCTGACCATACTTGTGCTTTTCATCAAGGAGCCACTGGGCACAATATTTAAAACTGCTATCTATTGAAGACTGAAGTGTACAAGTTGGTCCTGGCAAAAAGATTGTTGTGACCTATGCTAAGCCTAAGAAGGTGGTAGGAGAATCTAGTGGTTCTCCCATGGAGAAGGATATTGATGATCTGTTGAATATCATAAAGATGAGTGATTACAAGATTTTGGACCAATTGTTGCAAACTCCTTCTAAGATCTCCATTCTAGCTTTGTTGAACTCCTCTGCTCATCGGGAATCTCTGATGATAGTTTTCGATCAAGCTTTTGTTGAAAGAGATGTATCTCTTGATCAGTTTAACTGTGTTGTGGGAAATTTTATGTCTTATAATAATATGAGCTTTTGTGATGAGGAATTACCCATTGAAGGACGAAACCATAATTTAGCTCTGCATATATCTATGAATTATAAGAATGACTCCTTTTCCAATGTGCTGATAGACAATGGATATGCTTTTAATGTCATACTGAGGAGCACTCTCATGAAGCTTAAGTACCAAGGTACTCATATGCGTCCAAGTGGCATTATAGTAAAAGCTTGTGATGTTTCGAGAAAATCTGTCATTAGAGAGATAGACTTACCCATTCACATATGTCCGCACATGTTCCAGATTACCTTCCAAGTGATGGATATTTTCCTAGCTTACAGTTGTTTATTGGGACGACCTTGGATCCATGAAGCATAGGCCATTACATCAACTCTGCACCAGAAGCTGAAATTTGTCCGTGAAGAGAAGGTAGTTATTATGAACGGTGAGCAAGCTCTTTTGGTATCTCATTTGTCTTCCTTTATCGTTATAGAAGCTGATGAATCCATTGTTGGGACCCAGTTCCAAGCTTTGTTAATTAATAATATAAGGAAGAATGAAGATTCTATCACCTCATTTAAATATGCACAACAAGTAGTACAGAAAGGCCCTAGCAATGTATGGGGACGCGTTATTGATCCACCAGTGAACAAGAATAGGACAGGTTTGGGTTTCTCCCTGAAGAATGAAGTTATGAAGCTAAAGTCTGCTTTCAGCAAATATCAAGATATCTTCCACAATGTAGGATATCTCCATCCAACTACTCCTGAGGCCAACGCTATCCTTGAGGATGAGCTGGAAATAGAGATGCCTAACTTTGTGATGCATGGAGTTAGGGTCCATAATTGGATCAATGTTGATGTTCCCACTTGCATACATATTTCAAAGTAATTTTTTTTCTTGTCTTTTCAAAAATCCTTTCACTCTTCCCAAGGTGAAAACGATACTGTATGGGCGCCTCTTTTGTTTTGGATTTTCAAATCATTAATAAAAGTTGTTTTTAATTTCCAATCGTGTTTTTGTTTTTGTTTTTCTGGAATTTTTAAATCAGAGAAAACCTTTCAAAATAAATAATAACTATAATTAAATATGCATAATCACGTGTTACATTGGTCAGTTTTTAAAATCAATCATAATCATATGTGCAAATTAATTAAAAAACCCGTTGAATACAATGAACCTGCACCCTCTCCCAACTTTGAAATTCCAGTATATGTGGCTAAAGAATAAGAATTTGATGAAATTCCAGAGGAGGGTTCTCGGTTTCTTGAGCGTGAGGAAAATACCATTCAATTGTATAAAGAGCCGTTGGAAACGATAAACTTGGGTTCAGAGGAATATTTGAAAGAAGTCAAGATTGGGACACTGCTTCATCCTGATATGAAGAGCAGGTTGATTGAGCTGCTGAAAGAGTATATGGATATCTTTTCTTGGTCTTATCAAGATATGCCTGGGTTGTGTAGCGGTAGAAATTTTTAAGACTAAGCCATTGGATTGACTAGACTTATACAGATTAAAATAAAAATCGCCACCGCGCTTTATTGTTTCCAAGGGAATGGGAAAAGAGCGAGTAACCCAAAAAGAGGGGGAAAGATTCAAGGTAAGGGGTTGGTTATGCAAAGGGAAGGTATTAGCACCCTAAACATCTACGCTACTCCTCAGGAACCTCTTTGTAAAATCTGTATATTTTGGATATAAAATGTTGTATGTAAAATAAATGGTGGAAGTGAGAAAACAAATATATTTTTTTTATGATTTTTGCACCCGTCACGGTTGCGAATCTTTAGTGCCTACTGTTGCACCCCAAAATTTGCCCTCCTATTTTCTTTGATCTGGCTTAGACTCTTGCATTCATCTGTATATATCCCATTAGGTCATTAACATACATCAGACATTCGTTATCCCCTTGTGCTCAATGTCCTCCTTTGATTAAGGTTTATTTCTTTACGCTTGGGATTGTCGGATGAATTTGGCAGGACTAATAGTCGGGGGTTCTTCGTCAATGACTAGCTAGGGTTTTCTTTCGAATTTTCTTTGTAAGTAAAAAGGGGTAATTTATTACTTAAGTCACAAGCTATGCGATCAGAAACTTCATACAGAAGACAAATCTGGTTATACTGGTGCCCATTTTACCGTTTGATTTTTGTTTATCATTGATTCAAATAAATTCTTTCATTTAGCTATGATGATTGAGAATTAAGATGCTACGTTGCTTAGGCCATACAAGTTATCTCCTTGGTTCCCATACAAGGCTTTGAGGTGAACGTGGGGTATTGGATCATAGTTGCATCCAAGATCTTGACGATATCTTACTTGAGTTCCTTTGATTGACTGAGAGTATCTGATCTCATGATGTGTTATATTAAAAGATGCAATTTGAAGTAAAATTTGAAAGGTTAAAAGAAGATTTTGGAAGAAAAAAAAAGATTCAAGTCATATTTCATCCCCAAGATGCCAAGTATCACAAAACTCATCCGAGAAATATAGAAGAATCCAAATAAAATACAATAATATGAAAGCAATACTCAAAATCAAATGGAAATAAAGTAGTTTGAATACTTGATAATTTGTCATGAGATTCAAGATATCCCAAAGTGACATGTTATTCCAAGAGCATATTCCATTACCTTGGTTTGAAATGAATTACAAGCTCAAAGTCATTTACAATTCGCATCATAGTATTCAAAGTTCATCCAAATTAACCATTCATTATAAAACCATTACAATCCCATTACACCAAGATTCCACAAAGAAAACTGTTACAAAATACACTTGAACAAAAAATTTTAGTCCTAAGGGTGCTAAAATTCTATGAGTAAACTTTCATGCCATGTCAAGGTTCTCCATCTTCAGCTCTATGATGGTAGGAGACAGCTTCCACCACAGCTTCATCAACCTGCATTGGATGGGACACCGCAAAGAGTTCTTTCTACCCTTTTGCACTCATTCACTTTTTGACGGCAGTCGTGGTGGAATACCTTTCCATCCTGCCTCTCTTCCAGTATTAGGCCTATCTGAAGGTGATAAACAATGTATACGTGACTGTAGCAGCATAATGGCCAGACATCTCTTTGCAGATAAAAGCGGAGAATTTATCCATGCCCAAGTAAATGCTCTTCTGTCCCCTCTAGATATTGACAGCAACGTTCATGGCAATGGACCTATGCCTGAAAGATTTAGGGAACTTGATGATTATTGGAACAAGTCTCAAGGCAATGTAATACAAGATTCTCATGCTGCAATACTGGATGGAAAAGAGCTAGAAGTGTCCTTTGACAGCTTCCCGTACTATTTAAGAAAGAATACAAAAAAATGTCCCGATTACAGCTTGTTTTATACACCCAAAGCATAAAGAGCATGCAAAGTACACTCTAGATCTTACAACCATAAACCCTCGTATTTTGCTATTGGGACCAGCTGGATCAGAAATATATCAGGAGACGTTGGTAAAAGAACTTGCAAAACACTTTGGAGCTAAGTTGCTCATATTTGATAGCCATTTGCTTTTGGGTGGTTTGCCTTCCAAGGAATCTGAGTTGCTCAAAGATGCATTTAACACTGAAAAATCCTGCAGCAGCGCCAAACAAAGTTCTGTAATCACAGACATTGCTAGGACCATGGACCCATCAGCTAATGAAATAGAGACATCTACCTCTTCAGAGGCACCCACATCAAATGGCCTTGAGTCTCAACATAATTTGGATTGTCATAAAATACCATCAACCACTGTGACAGCCAAAAAAATGCTTGTTCAGATTAGGTGATAAAGTGGAGTTTAGTTTCCCTTCTTCTGATGGCTTGTATGAAACATCTTCAAGGGGCCCACCTAATGATAGTCGGGGGAAGATTGTATTGCCATTTGATGATAATCCACACTATAAAATTGGCGTGGAGTTTGATGAACTCATACACGACGACGTTGATCTTGGAGGTGCATGTGAGTCACCAATCTTCATTTAGAAAACAGTGGTGCCGTAGTACTGGACAAATTACTTATTTATTCATTGTTTGAGGTTGTTTATAGAGAGAGTAGAAGTGCACCATTCATTTTATAGAGAGAGTACGGACCTGCTACACTCAGGAGCGATTCACAAGCACATCATCCACCTCATAGTATACATGTTAATCCCAAGTATTTTGAAAGACAGCGTGTTCAGGAGTCCAGTAGGAGTAATCAACACACTCATAGAGACCCATTTGATGATCCTGTTCCAGAAAAAGAGTGCATCCTATGGAGGCAGTGACCATGGTTCCAATCTCTCAAGGAATATGGGCATGGGTATTGGCAGAACTGCTGGCAGCATAACCGAGTTAGGGCACAAAAATTTGTACAACAAAGCTGGTGTCGGTGTTTCAGGGACCATATCTGGGCAAAGAAATGGTGTTGGCCTCAAGCATAGTTTTTCAAATACAGAAGCTACTACTATTTCAGATGCACAACATCATCCAACACGAAACATTACTGTCATAAAGAGAAATGTGATGTCAAGTAGCTGGAAAAATTCCGAGGAAGAGGAGTACATGTGGGACGAGATGCACACTGGATTGACTAGTCATGGTGTACATACCAACTTGGGAAATGATGCTTGGACTGCTGATGATGAGAATTTGAATGCTAAAGATAACCACCACCAAATCAGAAATGTTTTTAGGGGAAATGTTGATAGAGAAATGACCAATAAATCTCAAGCCACTCAAAAGAAATAATTTCGGCATCATCCATCATTATCGTGGAAATTACAGGACCATAAATCAATTAATGAATTGGATAAGGAACTGAGTCACTCAGATGGATACATCCCAATGTCTGGTTCCTTACTAGGCAATGCAAACTCTTCTGCTTTCAGGATGGGGAATCGTGCTTTCCTGCCCAATGCAAGAATTGGGGGACAACAATTTCATTCTATAGGATCTGAATCCACTTCTGGGCAGTCACCTTTGCGACAACGCTCTCCCTCGCCACCAAGTATTGACCACACTTGTCTAATGGAAAATTTTGATAAACAAGACCATCCTCGCACTCGTAAAACATCTCATTTTTCGACAGGTATGCAAAGCCAATATATTGAAGATTCTTCACCCACCCTTTCTCCTAATATTCAGGTTGGAGACTTGCAAAGATTATCACAGGTAAAAGACTTGCGGGGTCCATTACCTTCAGCAAGTTTTCAGTCAAGGTATCAACAACAACTGAGGTCTGCTCACACTGAAGTAAATATTAAGAATGAGAAGCCACCATCTGATGCAGGGTCTGAAGTATCGGCTGAGCTTGAGTTTCTTAACCAACATAATCTTATCTTGAGTATGGAGAATAAAGCACTCAAAACAACGTTTAGAAAGTTTAGCATAGGAGCAGCTTATCAAATACTTGGAGCAGGAAGTACTGGAAAGAGAGATTGGAAGATTACGTGGCACATATCAACAACTAGCACCAATGACTCAACAGTCAATATTACCTCCACGGAAGCAATTGATGCTACATATTCAATTTCAGCCTGCACAATTGCCACAGCTAATGAGTTTTCAACATCAACCAAATCGTTTGCAACAAATCACACAATCACAAGTTTCTCATAGAAATACAGAAAAAAGGAACTTCGAGATCTTAAGGTTTTGAAGTTGAGAATTAAGATCATAGAAGCAAATCAATGGAGAAATTAAGAGCATTTGGAACCTTTCTGTTTGCCATATACTTGGTTGCAAGCTCCATTCCCCTGTGAGAGATTCTTCAATGGAAAGGCTATTTGAACTTCATGAATTTTTTAAGACAGTATCTTCACCCTGTATAGGAAAACAACAACAGATTAATATTTCCAAGATAATACCTATGGACAGCCACTGCAAAACAAACCCTCTAACTGACGACTAATTCCCATAACTAATTTCTAACAATTTTCTAACAAACTCCAAACTGTTTTCCTAAGCCAAAAACAGAATGCCCAACTAACATAACCATATTGTAACAAACTCTCAATCTCACCCTTCAATCCCTAACAAACTCTACTCAAATCAATGGTTCAGATTGACTCTCACATAGCCGTTTCCATCTCCCTCAACTACCTATATAATCCAAACTCCCTCCAAGTCTCATGGGACCACGTTACTCTCTTTTTTTCCAGTTTCAAAACTCCATTCTCTCTCCACCATTTTATTAGTTTCAAAAACCATTTTCTCCTTCACTCATTCTGCACTCTCTCAATTCACCCCCATCCTCTCTCTCACCTTCTTCACCATTCTCTGAAACTCTCAAAACCTCAACCACCAAACACTACTTCATCCCATCTCTGATTTCTCTCTACCAATTCTCTACTGCACTCTGTCATCTTCTCCATATACATCCAATTATCTTCCCCATTCAATCACATCATCACACTCTCGCTTCTGAAAATCACCATCATCTATGCATCTCGCCCTCAATAATAAACACAACGACAACCACAACAATCCTACGCCCCTTCCTATCAAAGCTCATCAACACACGCGCTTGGAAATCACAAAGAAACGCAAGAAAAAAAAGCAAAGAAGAAGAAGAGCGGAGGAATAGTTCACGCAACCGGGGTCATAGAAAGCACATACCTGAAGTCAAATAATCTCGCCGATATTCACTCTCCCCATATTGCATTCCGCTCGGTTTATTATGCGACACGTGGATACGCTTGAAATTTTGATTGTGATTTATTTTCACATCTAGGACGCTTCGAAGCTTACTCCGAGTATTGGATTTCTAACTCTTTTCTTTGTTGATGCTAACAGCACACGAGATCGCCAAGTATCTTTGCTTTTTCTGCTTTGCTCTACGAGCTAGTATTCGTTTGGTATATTTTCTTTCTATTTTCACCTCGCATTTATCTCTTCCTATAAATCATATGAAGTGTGATAGAATTAGGTTTAAAAATGGCTAGTCGCACCTGGACTTTTCTTCCTTTTTTTTGCATATACCTTAGCCAAAAAAGAAGTTCTTTTTCTTGCAAACCTCAAAAATACTTAAGAATTTACTGACAAGAATCATGTCTTTGCTAAGTTCGGGAGATGATAAGCGGGTTTCTTCTCGACCTTATTATTATCTTATTCTAGGCTTCGGCGTGGTTCAAGTCCAAAAGACTCATTTCATAAATAAGTGGAGAAATGACTAAAATCTCTCTCTTGAGATTAACTAGCTATTATCTACAAGCAAAAATACCAACAGACATAAAATTCTTTTTGCCTTCGGGCCTTTCTTTCAACATCTTTTCAAAAAGAGCATATTGGTTCACTTTTGTGCTGACGTGTAAGTCTCCAAAGGTCGAGTTGCGGGAGAAGGAGAAATTAATATCGTTCGCTACAAACACAAACAAATTCAAACCTTTTTGTGCGCCCAGGCACATTTTCTCCAAACTTTTTCAGAAGAGCATGTTAATTCACTTCTGTGCTGACGCATAAGTCTCCAAAGGTCGAGTTGCGGCAGAAGGCGAAATTAATAATGTTCATTAAAAAAATACAAACCAACAAAGACATAAGCCGAACTACGGCTGCTCTGATTCCTTAAAAGGGATACGTAGGCATCGGGGTAGGGCCCGAACGAGCACAATTATATTTTCCCTACATTCTTTTCTCCTTTATTTTGCATGTATTCTCCCTTCAGTAGTATAATAAACAGTAAGTATAGGTTAAACACACTCATAAGATAGATAACAAGAGTGGATACCGTAGAGTACTACGGGCGTGTGGGGTGCTAATACCTTCCCCTCGCGTAACAGACTCCCTTACCCTTATCTCTTGGTCGTTTCGACCTTGATTTCACCCTTTTCAGGTTTCCTCGATGTTTACCTTTCCCTTCATGTGGGATAAAAGACGTTCGATGGCGACTTTATTGTTTGATGATTTTCAGCCGGTTGCTCCTCCTACATACCACCTTTCGTGCAATAGGGGATCAGGGTACACATAGTTCCTCTTTTAAAAATTTTAAAACACAAGTGTGTTAGTTAATTTTATGAGATAAGACATCAACATCATTGTCCGTGTGGAAAAACATACTTACTACTCACAATCATGAGAAAGGAGAATTTTCATCATATCAAAGTGCAGGATATAGCTTGGATTTTAAAATCAACAATGCCTCACTCAACACCCAAGTTGAAAATACCTCAATTCACTTCATATTGTAGAAGTATAGTTGTTTGCATCACTACAAGGATTGACAAGAGTCCAGTCTTTTGAGAAAGGTTTTAAAATAAAAAGCCAAAGTGGAAAAATGATTTGAAATGAGATTGATTGACTTTTAGTCTTCTCACAAAAAATACCAAGGTATTATTAAGTTGATTGAAGTTTATTTATGAAAATGGTTTTGAAAATGCATGGACATAAGTCCAAGTTTATCATGAAAATGGTTCAAGTTTCAAAACAAGAAGAGTTTTCAAAAGGAGTGAGAAGATTTTTGAAATTAAAGAAGACGAGAGAAGATGAAGGGACTATCCTAAAGTATAAGGTAAAAGCTAGGGATAAAAACCATCTAACCAATATGAAGCCAATACTTGACATTATGAGTCAAGATAGAATTCCCATTCTTTAGATTGAAACCAAACAAGCAAAGATACTAGACCTCTTGAGAGAACTAAACTTCAAGTGTATTAAGTCTTCACAAAAATTGGGCAGAGTAACGGCTGTATACGGGTGAGTTCCAGATTACAAACAAAGAATGTAATCACAATAACCTGTACACAAAATAAACAAACAACCCAATGTCATGAGGTACACCTCAAGAACTCCAGACAAAATATCAATTAAGATCACAAGGTCTCCAATATAGGTCAAAGTTTCTAATCCTAAGTCCAAGAAGTTCAATACTCCACAATGCCAAGGATAGTAATCTAATAGTCCAAGTATCATTAAAGGTTTTTATGGTTCATGTTGAATATTAAATATCTTAAGAAAGAAAAGAAAAGCTCAAGTGAGTAAAATAAAAAATGACAAGAATAGTAAATGCTCAAGTGAGCAAAGATGAAAAAATAGCATGAAATGTAAATGCTAAAAGTAAATGGTGTATAAAATAAAAGAGCATAAAATAAAAGCACAAAATAAAGTCAATTATCAATAATTAATGGTTAGTTGGATGACCATCTTGAAACTTGCATTTGGAACTCATTAGAGGATTTGTAGAACCAAAGCCTCCATACGATAAGTTGCATTTGCTTTTTGTCAAGTATATCATCTATTTTAGAATCCTCAAAAGTAACTTTTAATGATCAACGATGTTTAAGTGATCAGCATTGACCAAAAGTAATGTAGATCCATTAGAGGATTGGTAGAACCAAAGCCTCTACACAATGAATCTCAAGGTTATTGGATCAAAGAGATCAAATTAACATACTTGGGCTTGCAAACATAAGTTTGGGCCACGAATGATCATTTATTCGAATCGGGACAAAATTTAGCGCTATGTTAAGCAATCGTAAGTGGACTTATATAAAAGTCACACCTATTTTGAGGCCGGTCAATAGCAATCTATGCACCATTTATTTTGAGATATGATATAGAGATCATGCTCCAATAACACTTAGTGCAATAAGAAGGGGATGGGATGAAGAGGGGTGGGATAGAATATACAAACCACATTTGAATTAAAATTTAATCAAACTATTATTAAAACCATTCATCCATTTTTATGGAGTTAGACTCAATACCATGGATCCAATGATGTTAATAAAGTTCATGATCCAAAATTCAATCCAAGATCAGCCAGAAAATAATCACAAAATAATATTGCATTTAATATATATATATTAAAAAGGGTTTTAAAATGTTTTAAAATAGAAATAAAAGAGAAAAATATCAAGTATATTCAAATTAATTAATAAATATTAAGTAAGACCATAGAAAAATCAGAAAAGGACTCATATTTTTATAAATTTTTAGATAATTTTTTAAAGTCAGAAACTATTTTTAAAAATTAAAAGAAATGAGTAAAATAAACCAAAAATGATAAAAAATAACAAAGTCAAAAATAAAAAATAAATGAGGTCACCAATATTTGTCACAATATCATTGAATCATTCCATATTTTTTTTCAGAACATAAAAATGCATAAAAGTATTTTTAAACATTTAAAATAATTCAAATAAAGTGAAAATTTATAAAAAAATATCAAAACACAAAATAAAATTATAAAAAAATAAAAATTAGAAAGAGAAAAATCAAAAATATTTTTCATAACTTTTTCAGATTTTTTGGACTAAATGAATTTTCTATGATTTTTTGAAATTTAAATCAATTAAAATAAAAATAAGAAAATAAAATATCAAACCAAGGCAATGAGAGCTTCACAATAATATCAAAGTTTGAGAGAATTGGTGAAAGAATCTACCTATTGAAGTTCAGTTGCAGAGCTCTGTAAATGGACTTCGATGGATGAATATAGGTCACAATTCTTGAAAGTAATTGTATGGTTAGCTTTAGGGAAGATCAAGGAAGGTGGATTAATAGAAAAAATGGATTGAAAAAGGCTTGAACACTGATTTTGAAGTTGCAGAAAAGTGAGTTATGGAATGAGTTTGGCAGGGTGATTTTGGTTATTCAAGCTTGAGAAAATGAATCAGATAGCT